TCCAGTGGGATTCCTTCCCAGGTAATAATCCTCAGAACTCAGGATGCTTGTCTGTTCTTAAGGTGAACAGATATAGATACCCTGCCTTTTCTCTCCAAAATAGAGACTCAACAGATGGACCAGCCAAGGATGAACGTGCCATTCAATGCACTCACGAAGTAAAATGGATTAGACCCATTGGATCAGTGGGATTGAACCAAGGACTGACTTATCATGCAATGCACTTGCAGAATAAACAGGACTAGGCCCATTGATTCAATGGGCTTTAGCTAATGATTGAATTACCATTCAACATGCTTGGAGTAGATCTGTTGAATCTATTGGATTGAGCTAAAAGTTGGTTGTGCACGAGGACCCCTCTCACATGCAGAGGCGCATTACTCATTGCTATCATGCATTTCTGCAGTCATAGCCTCATGGGATGAGATTGCAATGGCCATCCAATATTGATGAAAATGACGATGACGATAAGAATACACACAAACAACATTTCTTTTTAATACCCTTTTCCACCAAAGGATGAAACATCAAACACAGTCAGAGACACAGCAGAAGTAATGCAATTTGACACCACAACTCAGTGCTATAAACTCCTGGGAGTTGTAGTTTTCCAAGGTCTTGACAAAGATTGTATGTCCTTGTTAAACCAGAACTCACGGGATTCCATCACATTGAGCTGCAGCATTTAAAGCAGTGCCAATCTGCATTTGCTCTACGATGTAGATGCCCCCTTTGATTATTCATGGCTTTCAAAGATGGAGAGTCCAGCCTCCTGAAAAGAAGCAGGGGAGCTGAGGGATGATTTATTGTTGCCACCAATTTAAAAGAAACCAGTATTCAGGAGATTTTACCCCAGTTCCCAATTTTAAAAAGATTTAGCCGATTTGCAATGGAGGTTGCCGATTAGGAACCAAATTTACCCTCAAGTTAGAAGAGAGGCTGTTCAATTGCACCTCCTCCTTTATTAAGAAAGTAATAACTTAGTAGTAATTACACTGTATATACTGTAGCGTGACTGGAGAGAAGGAATGTAGATTTATTTGGTTACTTTTCCCTGGGTTTCTGCCACCACGTGAGGTAAGTTGTAATATTGTGAGAAATGGCACTTTGGACACAGAATAGACGGAGCTGAGGCAATCTTCAAATAAAAGTTAACAATTTTATTAAGTACACAGCGTGTGGTTGCAAGACGTAACTTTTCCTTGTTGCACTTGGAATAATACTTGTAACTTTAACAGTTCATTCTTTCTAGTAACACAGTATCTTCTGACGTAGAGCACTTGTTTCAGACAAAGTTTCCATACAGGGATGTTTCCCTTAGTTGATCCTCCCTAGATCAAATACTAAGTAAACTATTCTTTAGCCTCTCCTTAGACTAAAAGAATACCAGCTATGTTTCACCATTCGGCTGCACTAGCCTGAGAAACTTCCAATAGCCAAACCCAGCTTTTCAAAGCCTCAAAGCTTTGCTTCACAAGTCACTCCGCCACCTTTCCTTTCCTTCTCTCCCAACTCCTAACTCCTCACTCCTCTGAACCTAACTCCTGACTGCTCACTCCTCTAAACCTAAACCCTAACTGCTCACTCCTCTAAACCTAAACCCTAACTGATTTTTAACTGTCGTTTTTTCAAACTCTCCCCTCTAAGCTCCTCCCACTTCCCTCTCTCCTGCATCGGTCTCCATGGCAACGCACATGGAGGACTCCTCTGACTTAGGCCGCTCCAGCATTACTGCAGCCAATCTAAACACAAATACAGTTAAAATCATACAATTTATAATCAACTCCTGTACACCTCCTCACGGCCTTTTTGGTGTTTTCCCCTTAGACTCATTGGAACCTTCCAGATGGTACTGCAGAAAGTGGTGGAAGAAGGACACCTGGAGGTGACGGACACCCTGATCGACGACAACAACGCTGCCATTCAGGTGAATGATATATCGCTTTTCTACAGGTCAGCGAAGGAGACTACACTGGACTCCATTAGAGTTGGAAGGGACCCCTGAAGGGCATCTAGTCCAACCCCCATCAGCCAGACAGAGATGCACAATCAAAGCCCTCCCAACAGATGGAATAGATGTCCTTTGGGGGTCCCTTCTCACACTGATTCCATGATTATCTCATTCTCTTTCTCCTGCACCTTCTGTTGGAACTCAGCCACATCCTGCACAAAAATTCATAGTCCTCATCAAGGAAATAGGGAAATGAGTTAGCTGCAGGGAAAGCCCTTCCCTTTTGCCCTCTTTGGACCCTCCTACACTGCCATATAATTCAGAATATCAAGGCAGATAATCCACATTATAAGCTTTGAAATTGATTGTATGAGTCTTCACTGCCATATAATCCACTTCAAAGCAGATAATCTGGATTTTTTATCGCTGTAGATGGGGCGTCAAAAGCATAAAACCATTACAATACTATTTCAAACCCCAAAAGACACAGGCGCTGAAATAGAATTTGATACAGCTGTATGGAAGGGGTCTTTGTCTGCCTAACAACCCAATGTATGTCCTTCACTCATAAAACACTGAAAAACACAGCAGAAGGGACTGAAAAAGCCCCAAACATCTAAATGACGAAAAGCTAAATGACAGTACAGAAAAAAGGAAGAAAGAAGGAGGGAAGGGGAGAAAAGTAAGAAAGAAACAAAAGAAAGAGGGAGAGAGAAAAAGAAGGAAAGGGAGAAGGAAGCATGGAAGCAAAGAGAGAAGGAAGGAAAGAGGTAGAGAAGGAAGAAAGGAGAGTAAGAGAGAGGGAAAGAAAGAAGGAAACAGAGAAGGAAGCATGGAAGCAAAGAGAGAAGGAAGGAAAGAGGTAGAGAAGGAAGAAAGGAGAGAAAGAGGGAGGGAAAGAAAGAAGGAAAGGGAGAAGGAAGCAGAGAAGGAAGGAAAGAGGTAGAGAAGGAAGAAAGGAGAGTAAGAGAGAGGGAAAGAAAGAAGGAAACAGAGAAGGAAGCATGGAAGCAAAGAGAGAAGGAAGGAAAGAGGTAGAGAAGGAAGAAAGGAGAGAAAGAGGGAGGGAAAGAAAGAAGGAAAGGGAGAAGGAAGCAGAGAAGGAAGGAAAGAGGTAGAGAAGGAAGAAAGGAGAGAAAGAGGGAGGGAAAGAAAGAAGGAAAGGGAGAAGGAAGCAGAGAAGGAAGGAAAGAGGTAGAGAAGGAAGAAAGGAGAGAAAGAGGGGGGGAAAGAAAAAGGGGGAAGGAAGGAAAGTTAGAGAAGGAAGGAAGGAGAGAAGGAAAGAAAAAGGGAAAGAAGGAAGGAAGGAGGTAGTGAAGGAAGGGGGGAAGATGTAGAGAAAGAGGGAGGGAAGGAAAGAGGGAAAGAAAAAGAGAAGAAAGGAAAGTTAGAGAAGGAAGGAAGGAGAGAAGGAAAGAAAAAAGGGAAAGAAGGAAGGAAAGAGGGAGTGAAGGAAGGGGGGAAGATGTAGAGAAAGAGGGAGGGAAGGAAAGAAGGAAAGAGAGAAGAAAAAGAGAGACAGCAGAAGAGAAAGAAAAAGGGGGAAGGAAGGAAAGAGATAGAGAAGGAAAGAAGGAGGGAAGAAGGAAGGAAAGAGGGAGCGAAGGAAGGGGAAGATGTAGAGAAAGAGGGAGGGAAGGAAAGAGAGAAGGAAGAAAAGAGAGACAGCAGAAGAGAAAGAAAAAGGGAATATGAAGGAAAGATAGAGAAGGAAGGAAGGAAAGAAGTAGAGAAGGAAGAAAGGAGAGAAAGAGGGAGGGAAAGAAAAAGGGAGAAGGAAGGAAAGTTAGAGAAGGAAGGAAGGAGAGAAGGAAAGAAAAAAGGGAAAGAAGGAAGGAAAGAGGGAGCGAAGGAAGGGGAGAAGATGTAGAGAAAGAGGGAGGGAAAGAAGGAAAGAGAGAAGGAAGAAAAGAGAGACAGCAGAAGAGAAAGAAAAAGGGGGAAGTAAGGAAAGGGAAGGAAGGAAAAAGGGAAAGAAGGAAGGAAAGAGGGAGCGAAGGAAGAGGGGAAGATGTAGAGAAAGAGGGAGGGAAGGAAAGAAGGAAAGAGAGAAGGAAGAAAAGAGATACAGCAGAAGAGAAAGAAAAAGGGGGAAGGAAGGAAAGAGACAGAGAAGGAAAGACAGGAAGGAAGGAAGGAAAGAAGGAAGGAAGGAAAGAAGGAGTGAAGGAAGGAGAGAAAGAAGGAGAGAAAGAGGGAAGGTTGGCCACAGCAATGCGTGGCGGGTACAGCTAGTGTAGAAATATAATTTTTTCAATACACTAATAATGTTTAACGCTTGGCTCTGCTCAAGAAGCTTCTGATCTGCTAGAACTGTTGCTGTTGCTTCCGCTTTTAAAAATGCTTTTGTTTCTGGGTAGTTACATTACAAAAAAAGGAACTTCCTCAGCATTGCTTTAGGGTCTGCAGATGGTAAGCCAGGATCTGCTTGGGTTTTGCGCACAGGTTTCCGGCTCCTAACGAGCCTCTGCCTGTCTCTCTCGAGACGGAACGCAGGTCACCCGAAAGGGAAACCGTACAGAAAAGAAACCGTAAAAAATGATTTTTTTTCCTTCTAAATTGTTTCCCTTGCGATTTGTGTGGTTGCCATGGATACTGGAGAGGGTCATCCAACCTGTGCTGTATGAAAACATCCCTGCATTGATTTGTGGCAACAAGCACGGCTCAGTCAAGGCCTTTGCAAGAAACCCAAGGTGAGGGAAGGATGTGTATCCACTAGGCTAGAATTAAGTCGCTAGTCCTCAATGTGGACAAAAAGACCTCTGTAGAATGCTAGAGTTGGAAGGGAACCCCAAAGGCCATCCAGTCCAACCCCCTTTTATCTGCAAGGCAGGAAGACACCATCCAAGCCCTTCTGACAGATGGCCTCTGGTTAGGAAAGAGGTCCAAGGAAGGAGACTCCACTGGATTTCCAAGCTGTCTATAGTCTACTAGAGTTGGAACCGAACCCCAAAGGACACCTAGGTCCTCTCCCTTCTGTCATGCAGGAAACACGATCAAAACTACAACTCCCAGGATCCCATAGCACTGAGACATGGCAGTTAAAGTGGTATCAATTCTACAGTGTGGATGCCCTGAGAGTCCCATGTCAGATCTACATCAATAAAAGCCAAAGTATCTACCTCCCTACCCACCTACCCATGTTTGTGGTTTCCGAGATGACTCCCACATCCACCAGCAATGGATCTGGACCAAACTTGGTACACAGACCCATCATGACCAACTTTAAGGCCTGGCAGAGTCCGAAGGTAATTGACCCAGCATGGTGGGAGTTGCAGTTCACCTACATCCAGAGAGCACTGCACTCCACTGATGATGAATCTGGACCAAACTTGGCACATAGACCCATCATGACCAACTTTGAGAACTGACAGTGTTTGAGGGGATGACCAAGATTGATGGGAATTGTAGTTCGCCCACTTACTTACTTACTTACTTAGGCGATCCCTCATTGGCCGAGTAGGATAGTCTTCCAGAATCAGTATTCTTGTGGGTCTGTAGATGGCTGTGGAGCCCTATTCTTGGTCTGCATCGCATTGGTTTCCAGGTGGAAGGCGGTCCCAGTCGGGGTTGGCTTGACGCGCCTTCCTCTTGGCACGTTTCTCTCTTTCACCCTCCATTCGTGCCTCTTCAAATTCTGCAGCACTGCTGGCCACAGCTGACCTCCAGCTGGAGTGCTCATGTCCAAAGAACAATGTGAACACCACCACCAATGGATCTGGACCAAACTTGGCACACAGACCCATCATGACCAACTTTGAGAACTGACAGTGTTTGAGGGGATGATCAAGAATGATGGGAATTGTAGTTCACCCACTTACTTACTTACTTAGGTGATCCCTCGTTGTCCGCGTAGGATAGTCTTCCAAGATCAGTGTACTGGTGGGTCCTTAGGTGACTGTGGGGTCCTATTCTTGATCTGCATCTTCTCCCACAGTGAGGGCATTGGTTTCCAGGTGGAAGGTGGTCTCGGTCGGGATTGGCTTGACACACCTTCCTCTTGGCAGTTTCTCTCTTTCACCCTCCATTTGTGCCTCTTCAAATTCTGCAGCACTGCTGGTCACAGCTGACCTCCAGCTGGAGCGCTCACATCCAAAGAACAATGTGAACACCACCACTGATGGATCTGGACCAAACTTGGCACACAGATCCATCATGACCAACTTCAAGGACTGGCAGGGTTTGACCTGGGATGATGGAACTTGTAGTTCATCCATATTCAAAGAGCACTGTGAACTCCACCGATCAAAAGTTCTCACACAGAATCACCATGAACAAGTTTAGCTACTGCTGTGGTTAGAGGGTAATGACAGGTGATGGTGGGAGTTGTAGTTTACCCACATGCATTTTCTAATGGGACTATTAATAAAATCCTAAAACAAATCATAACACTATGTTGCATGATTTTGGTTCCTAGGTTATAAATGTTGTTTTCTAATTGGTTCTATCATAGAAAAATTGAAAAAGTTTATTAAATTGCAAAAACTTTGTTTTTGTGCTCTGCAGAAAAGGTTTAAAATGGCAGCCACAAAGTCAAAGTTTCTGGAGTAGAACAACTACTTTCAAAGTAAGGACCGCACAATTAAACAGGAAATAATACATTCAAACCAGGAACAGAAACTTTTGAAATGTAATTGTTTCTAGTAAATGGCACTACAAAATTTTAAACAATTCAGACATTGCCAGATACTGAATTCAGTATGTGATATAACTAAACTTCCTGACTGTGAGAGCCGTTCAGCAGTGGAACTCTCTGCCCCAGAGTGTGGTGGAGGCTCCTTCTTTGGAAGCTTTTAAACAGAGGCTGGATGGCCATCTGTCAGGGGTGCTTTGAATGCAATTCCTGCTTCTTGGCAGAATGGGGTTGGACTGGATGGCCCATGAGGTCTCTTCCAACTCTAAGGATCTATGATTCTAACGATGAGAGCCGTTCAGCAGTGGAACTCTCTGCCCGGAGTGTGGTGGAGGCTCCTTCTTTGGAAGCTTTTAAACAGAGGCTGGATGGCCATCTGTCAGGGTTGATTTGAATGCAATATTCCTGCTTCTTGGCAGAATGGGGTTGGACTGGATGGCCCATGAGGTCTCCTCCAACTCTTTGATTCTATGATTCTATTCTGAGAGCCGTTCAGCAGTGGAACTCTCTGCCCCTGGAGTGTGGTGGAGGCTCCTTCTTTGGAAGCTTTTAAACAGAGGCTGGATGGCCATCTGTCAGGGGTGACTTTGAATGCAATATTCCTGCTTCTTGGCAGAATGGGGTTGGACTGGATGGCCCATGAGGTCTCTTCCAACTCTAGGATTCTATGATTCTATGATTGTGAGAGCCGTTCAGCAGTGGAACTCTCTGCCCCGGAGTGTGGTGGAGGCTCCTTCTTTGGAAGCTTTTAAACAGAGGCTGGATGGCCATCTGTCCAGGGGTGATTTGAATGCAATATTCCTGCTTCTTGGCAGAATGGGGTTGGACTGGATGGCCCAGGAGGTCTCTTCCAACTCTTTGATTCCTTCCTGTGAGAGCCGTTCAGCAGTGGAACTCTCTGCCTGGAGTGTGGTGGAGGCTCCTTCTTTGGAAGCTTTTAAACAGAGGCTGGATGGCCATCTGTCAGGGGTGCTTTGAATGCAATATTCCTGCTTCTTGGCAGAATGGGGTTGGACTGGATGGCCCATGAGGTCTCTTCCAACTCTATGATTCTAATCATTCCTGACTGTGAGCCGTTCAGCAGTGGAACTCTCTGCCCCGGAGTGTGGTGGAGGCTCCTTCTTTGGAAGCTTTTAAACAGAGGCTGGATGGCCATCTGTCAGGGGTGATTTGAATGCAATATTCCTGCTTCTTGGCAGAATGGGGTTGGACTGGATGATGGCCCATGAGGTCTCTTCCAACTCTTTGATTCTATGATTTTATGATTCTATAAGCCAAGGGCAAATGCTTCTTTCCTCATTCTTCTCCAGACCAGCGTCTCCATTGAGATCCGGTACCAGGCTATGGACGGCACCGTCGGCGCTTGGAATGATGAAGAGTTCCTGGAGAGCCCCAGTCGGCCCCGATCTGAGGGGGACCCCTATGAGACGGATGCCTTGCTCCCCAGCAGCCGCCGCCAGTCGCCCAGCAAGGCCAGCGCCGCGGAGCGGGCCCTCCGGAGGTAAGAAGACCCCAGTTGTACCCAAAGGGGAAGGGTGGAAGGGTCTCCCATCCGTGTGGAGGTTAAATCATCCTGTTGTCGAATGGGAAAGTTCCAAGGGACCCGAGACAACGAGAGATGGAGGGAGGTGGGATTTTTGACGGGAAGCTTGTACATGAAGTGATTTATAGTTTCCAAATCACCAGTTCCCTGAACCACTGCAAACTGGATAGTGTCCCTGAAGCAAGAAAAATATAGCAGAATCTTTTCACAGCAAAAACATGTAGTTCAACTTTTTGAAGTACGATCTTAACAGATTAGAGAGATGGGCCAAAACTAACAAAATGAAGTTCAACAGGGACAAATGCAAGATACTCCACTTTGGCAGGAAAAAGCGGATGTCAGGTGGTGCAATACCGGCTAGACAGTATAATTTCTCCAGTGGTGTAGGGCGCAGATACCACGTGATAATATGGCATGTCTCATTAAAAGCCACATCTACTGTTTTTTAGCGTGGTGAGATGCGTTCCACACTGGGCATGCGTACTCAGCAGCAGAGTAGCATAGCGCAAGGGCAGATGTCTTCGCTGTGTCTGGTTGTGATCCCCAGGTTGTGCCAGTCAGCTTTCGTATGATATTGTTTCTAGCACCCATGTTTTGCTTGATGTTCAGGCAGTGCTTCTTGTAGGTCGGAGCACGGTCCAGAGTGACTCCCAAGTATTTGGGTGTGCTGCAATGCTCCAGTGGGATTCCTTCCCAGGGAATAATCCTCAGAGCTCGGGATGGTTGTCTGTTCTTAAGGTGAAAAGCACATGTCTGTGTTTTAGATGGGTTGGGGATCAGCTAGTTTTCCCTGTGATAGGCAGTAAGAGCACCTAGAGCTTCAGAGAGCTTCTGTTCTGCCATCTCAAAGCTCCCTGCTTGAGCAATAATGGTCGCTTCTGGAGTGAGAGAATCAGCCTTCTACGAAGATGTTGCCCAAGGGATGCCCGGATGACTTGCAATCCTGCGAGGAGGCTTCTCTCATGTTCCCCGGGAGGTGGGATTCGAACCCAAGATGTCCAGCCCAGTAAGACATTGCACATTGCCTACTGTGCAGTGTGAGTTGGAGATGCCTTGAAGGTACAATTTCCCGTCATTGGACAGCATTGGATTCTGGATCTGTGTTTGAATGTTGCCAAATTGCCGCACTATATTGTGTGACCGTGATGAAGCAAGTGCTGATCCTCAACAAGACCTGGTAAAGCTGCAGTGAATATCCACTTTGCTGGACTGAACTATTTCACTGCAGCTATAGATCAGTTCCCCCGATCAATAAGTAGCAATCCCCAGGCTGGAGTCTACACGACAGCATCGCCATGTTCAGCTTTAATGAGCCTCATTCGACAGTTTGAATCAGTATTGATATAGCCTTCATTTCGGAGGTGAGCCACACCGTTTCATTGCTCCCCATTGAGAAAGTCGAGATGTAGAAGCATGTCTCTTGCATTGCAAACATCAACATCTATCCCAGGTTGCATCTGCACCGTTTCATGCCATGGGAGTTATAGTTTTGCAAGTTCTTGAGCTTTGTTTGGCAAACAATGCTGGCGCTTCACCAAACTACAGATCCCAGGATTCCAGAGCAGTTAAAGTGATGTCAAACAGCATCCTTTCTACGCTGTACAGGTATTAGGTTGGGCAAACTTGGGAGCAGGTGTTTTGGACTTCAACTCCCACAATTCCTAACAGCCGATAGGCTGTTAGGAATTGTGGGAGTTGAAGTCCAAAACACCTGGAGGGCCAAAGTTTGCCCATGCCTGCTGTAGATGCACCTAAGGCCTTGTAAAACTACAACTCCCAGGGTTCTGTAGCCCTGAGCAATAGCAGGTAAAGTGATGTCAGATGGCACAGGTGTTTTGGACTTCAACTCCCACAATTCCTAACAGTGTTTTGAAGTCCAAAACACCTGGAGAGCTAAAGTTTGCCCATGCCTGCTGTAGATGCACCTAAGGCCTTGTAAAACTACAACTCCCAGGGTTCTGTAGCCCTGAGCAATAGCAGGTAAAGTGATGTCAGATGGCACAGGTGTTTTGGACTTCAACTCCCACAATTCCTAACAGTGTTTTGAAGTCCAAAACACCTGGAGGGCTAAAGTTTGCCCATGCCTGCTGTAGATACACCTAAGGCCTTGTAAAACTACAACTCCCAGGGTTCTGTAGCCCTGAGCAATAGCAGGTAAAGTGATGTCAGATGGCACAGGTGTTTTGGACTTCAACTCCCACAATTCCTAACAGTGTTTTGAAGTCCAAAACACCTGGAGAGCTAAAGTTTGCCCATGCCTGCTGTAGATGCACCTAAGGCCTTGTAAAACTACAACTCCCAGGGTTCTGTAGCCCTGAGCAATAGCAGGTAAAGTGATGTCAGATGGCACAGGTGTTTTGGACTTCAACTCCCACAATTCCTAACAGTGTTTTGAAGTCCAAAACACCTGGAGGGCTAAAGTTTGCCCATGCCTGCTGTAGATGCACCTAAGGCCTTGTAAAACTACAACTCCCAGGGTTCTGTAGCCTTGAGCAATAGCAGGTAAAGTGACGTCAGATGGCACAGGTGTTTTGGACTTCAACTCCCACAATTCCTAACAGTGTTTGGACTTCAACTCCCACAATTCCTAACAGTGTTTTGAAGTCCAAAACACCTGGAGGGCTAAAGTTTGCCCATGCCTGCTGTAGATACACCTAAGGCCTTGTAAAACTACAACTCCCAGGGTTCTGTAGCCCTGAGCAATAGCAGGTAAAGTGATGTCAGATGGCACAGGTGTTTTGGACTTCAACTCCCACAATTCCTAACAGTGTTTTGAAGTCCAAAACACCTGGAGGGCTAAAGTTTGCCCATGCCTGCTGTAGATGCACCTAAGGCCTTGTAAAACTACAACTCCCAGGGTTCTGTAGCCTTGAGCAATAGCAGGTAAAGTGACGTCAGATGGCACAGGTGTTTTGGACTTCAACTCCCACAATTCCTAACAGTGTTTGGACTTCAACTCCCACAATTCCTAACAGTGTTTTGAAGTCCAAAACACCTGGAGGGCTAAAGTTTGCCCATGCCTGCTGTAGATACACCTAAGGCCTTGTAAAACTACAACTCCCAGGGTTCTGTAGCCCTGAGCAATAGCAGGTAAAGTGATGTCAGATGGCACAGGTGTTTTGGACTTCAACTCCCACAATTCCTAACAGTGTTTTGAAGTCCAAAACACCTGGAGGGCTAAAGTTTGCCCATGCCTGCTGTAGATGCACCTAAGGCCTTGTAAAACTACAACTCCCAGGGTTCTGTAGCCTTGAGCAATAGCAGGTAAAGTGATGTCAGATGGCACAGGTGTTTTGGACTTCAACTCCCACAATTCCTAATAGTATTTTGAAGTCCAAAACACCTGGAGGGCTAAAGTTTGCCCATGCCTGCTGTAGATGCACCCAAGGCCTTGTAAAACTACAACTCCCAGGGTTCTGTAGCCTTGAGCGATAGCAGCTAAAGTCATGTCAGACTGCATTAATTCTACAGTGTCAATCCAGCCACAGATTTTACAAGCCTTCTTTGCAATCGTTGAAGTTAATTTCAGTCTCAACCCATTTTTTTTGGAATTACTCAGGCAGCGGTTATCGCAGGCCTTTCATTATCTGCCAAGAACATGCTGGCTCTGATTTGCAAAACGAATAGAAAAAATGGAAAGAGCGTTCGTTTTGGCCTCGTCGGGAAAGATAATTCTAGCCCTGCAAATTGCCGAAAGGAACAAGTTCACCGATAAGATCAATCCAATATATGGTTTCAATCCTTGGGTTTAGATGAGAGGGAATGATTCCTAATTCTTTTTAGGTTATACATGATTGGAGTGGGAAATAAATCAGCCACTTCTGGGCGGAATATTGAGCTTCCCAAAGATGGAGAAGCCTGCCTTCTGGGATTTTTTACACAAATGCAAGAAATAGATACAAATAGATATTTTATTCTTTTCATGTTTATTTTTAATATAGTTTTTAATGTGAATTTATATTTTGTGTGTGTGTGTGTGTGTGTGTGTGTGTGGGAACCCAGATACCTTAAAGAGCCAGACACAGGAGTATGTCCAAAACAATAGTTTATTAAAGCAAAGTAAACAGGACTCAGAGACACTTGCTTCAGTGCCTCTGGTCAAAACTCAAAGTTTGTAGCAATTTCTAGCTTGAAAAACAAACTCAGAAAATAATCCGGATTAAACTGGCAAAAAAAAACCTGGATTAAACAAGAGTTCTTCCAAAACACCCCAAAATCACACAATTCAAGGAAAACAAACAAAGAGCCGTGAAGAGAAGCCGTCGTCCAGTAGCAGTCCAAAGTCGAAGAAATCCCAGTTGAAGGTTCCAAAGTCCACAAAGCAGCGTCGTTGTCAAAAGCAGTCCGAAGTCAAGGAGAGGGGAAATCCGCACTTACGAGAATCCAAGCTGGTCAGTACATGAAGCAAGGCAGCAACCTGCAGATCCAGGTCCCAAGCCCAACAGGAAAGTGGTTCAATGCAATGTAATATTGGGTGTTGTAGTTGACTGAGGCACTGGCACACTTTGGCAGACAAAGCTAAAATACTTTGTCGTAGCAAGCAGAATCCGAAGTAGCGAAGTTCCAAAGTCCATGGAAACAGCGTCGTAGTCAAACCGGTCCAAGGTCAAGGAAGGGAGAAATCCACACGCATGAGAATCCAAGCCGAGTTGAAGCACACAGAACAGGAGCAGCAACTTGCAGATCCCGAACCCACGCCAACACGGAACAGGCAGTGACAAGTCCAGACAGTACCCAATGCATGAACTTATACCAACACCTTGCCTTCTGCAAAGATTCCCCATTTCAGAGCCTACTTTTATCTTACACATCATCATCAGAAGATGAGCTGACCTTTGCCCCATCGTTATTCCTTGCAGCTGTTCTTGATTCCACACGTGAATTCCTACTCCCATCTCTCCAACTTCTTCACCTTCTGTCAAGACTTAGATCACCCCAAGACTCAGATGTATTCCCTG